CCCCCCCCCCCCCCCCGTGAGTCCCAGCGACAGCACGCCCCAGCACGGGCACCTGCTTGTGTAACCACGCTGCCTAGATAGAGCAAGAGTTCACACCACTACAAAACATTAATCTAGTAATCATGTTAAAGAGAACAGTCACAAACGACTAACACAGAACTCAAGTAACCCAGAGGCACGAAGGGCAAGCACATGAGCAGCTTTTTAAAGTAAGGCGGCTTCTGAGTGAAAGAAATCTACAGGAGGGCACTCAACTTTCTCAAAACCAGGAGGTACCTTCTGCCATTTCAGCACACAAGCTTGGTTACAGATAAACATACGCTGCGTGAAAAGTTTTTACAAGCATCGCGTGCGCGCAGTCAGCGAGCGGAGAGGAATCGCAAAGCAACCGAGCACCCTCTCTCCCTGCAGCCTGCTCCCACTTAACTCCCCGCTTGCGTTTTTCCAGCTTCACTTTGGGTGACCAACTTTGTCATCCCAAACGGACTGTTGTAATGTTACAGATGATTCACATCCTGGGGGATTGGGGGAGGAAAAAGCAGTGGAAGAAGCTAAAATAAAACCAGGAAAGCTATCCGGAAAGTTCCCGAGATCTGTCTTCCCCCCCCTGCTCCTGAGCTGCAGGATGCAAGATCTTCACATCCCACCCCGCTCACCCAGGCGCTGCCCTCTGCCTCTCTGCATTCAGCTGACAGACCTCCGGAACCACCAGACCTGCCCATTTCCCGAGCAGAAAACCTCCCCCAAACAGATTTCAATTCTCACTCCCGATAAGCAAGAACCGGAGGGGAGATGAAGAGGCTCAAAGCCACCAGCATGGCCGTGGTTTGCTAACACCACGGCCCAGACAGATCTGAGCACTGGACCGCTGTCTGTCTGTCTTGTTTATTTGCTCGCTCCCTGACATGGTTTTGACCTATGCAGATAGCTTCCAGATAACACCCAAGTGCTGCACGGAGGAAAGCAAATACCAGGGTTTATTCCCAATAGGCAGCACTGACAAAAATACACCAGGTTTGTCCCCCTTCAGGCTAGAGAGTCCTCTGACACCGGGTCTGAGGCTGCAGGGCCTCTTCTCACACTTCAGTGCATAACACGATCTCCCCGATCACGCTATGCAAACTCCGCTCTGGCAGACTGGGACCCAACCTCCACCTTATTTTAGACACCGCGACCTGAAAAAACACATACAGAAATTAAGATGATGTTCAGGACCACAGCAACCGCAGGGGCCCGGGGGAGCTCCACGCCCAAGTGCAACCTCACGCGAAGGCAGCCGGCGACGACCGGCCTCGGGGCCAAAGGAGAGCCCAGGTCCTGTATTATTTAGCAACACTGGTGGAGCACTTGGGATCATTTGCAGGTAAGGGATTAGTATTTTTAAAGGGCTGACTTGGGAGCGTGTGGGTTGACTGTTAGGCAGCTCACGTATCCGTTGCTGCCTTGAGAGAGCCAGCCCCAAACTTTTCAGCAGTGGCCAAGCAGAAGCACCCAGGCAGATGCCTCCCGCCTCTTCAGAAAACAACAGTATGTCCTGCTTCTTCACAGGAGGAGAACACTGATTAACAGATGATTTTACAGAACCAAAACCTTCACGATCCAGAAAGCGTTGCTACAAAGTACACATACCATCGCAAATCCAGAGAGCAGAGCAGAGGTTCTGCTGGAAGCTTTCAGTTTGGCTCGGCTCAGGTACAATTTTCTCCACGAAAGGGCTTGAACGGAGTGGTGGTTTGATGTGACCAATTCCAGATAGCTGCGCCGGACCCAGTCCCGATAATCCATGCCTTTTGTGCCAGGTTCAGAGCAGCAAGCAGGAGTGGAAGGATCCACCGGAACATTTAATTCGGAACTCATGATGAGAGAAATGCTGAGGAAACAAAATAGTCCTGTTCAAAAGAAGGTAGCAGACAGGACAAGCATCGACTACTGGAAAATCTGTGTTTAAACAAAAGTTACCCTTAGTCAGTAGAAAAACGACAGACCAAATACCATCACGCTTGCAAGGCACAGAACAGAGAAAGGACCATCCATAATTGCTAAAAATGACCATGAGAACTAGGAAAGGTTACGCAAGTAAACCCGGGAACTACTCCAGTAGGAATTCAGGACGGTTGCACAGCATCTGGCTTTTAATTTCAAAGCTGGCATCTCAACTTTCCCCTTTAATTCCTCCTTGCTAATAAAAAAAAAAATTGTTTTACATAAAGACACTTTGGAAACAGGGCCCCCATCTTATAGTTTTGTTTTAAGCTGACAGCTAATTTCACAGTGCATCACGGATTGGCTCCAAATGCATCTCCTTTAGAGTACCAAAATAACTCTAGCCAGCGTGTTCAGGGAGTCATTTTTTGCTCTTTCTTTGGAAACCAGGTTTTCAGTTAAACCATCGCTCATCATAGCTCAGTTCAGACGGGCACAGTTCTTCCCCAAGACTTCCCCAGTAGTCATGGAGCTGAATGCTGCGTAGGGTTAACAAATGAACTTCCCGAGCTCCTGCAGTGGGAAGTTCAATTTCCTGAACTGCTCGCACTCCATTTATCAGCCGCATCTGACCAAGAATCCTGCTCCCTTACTTCCACCGGTGGCTCTTAGCATGGGGAAAGGAAAAGACAATCCCAAGGGGAAAAGCTAGTTGCCTTCCAGGTAGTTTCGGCGTCTTCAGATTCAAGAGGTTACGCTTAAAGATGTAAGAAAGCAGCGAGGCTGTTTCAGGCGGTGAATGCCACAGCAGCCAGCAGAGACAAGCGCAAGGTCCGAACCACCCCCTCCTTGCACCACAACTTAGCCAGGCTGCTGCCGAATGGCTCTGGTGATCTCCGTGCCATCCGTGGCCACAGAACAGGATTCACTAAACGTTTTGAGCAAGAATTTCTCAACTATGACAAACACCTGAAACTAGATGTTCAACTCAGCCTTCTGAAGAACGGAAACCACGATTCTCCGATTAATACCCCCACCCACAGCTCTGCCACTGACCACCGCGGCGGTGGCAGGTAGCAACAGCAGAGCTGCACCACACGAGACCTTTCTGGCTATAAATACTTACCGGCTCCTAGAAGGAGGAGATGCATGCCCAGAGTCACACATGGTGTGGTACTAATTAGTCCCGGCACCACACCTCAAGGTCATAAACACCTTGCTGTTCGCTTGAGAGGAGCCCCAGCCCTGCCTGCATCCTCCCCCTGCTCCACCCAGCTCTCCACATACGCGGGCCACATGGTGACAGCTAATAAACCATGTTTGCTGTGAGATCTCAGGAAGTGCAAAGATAAAAAGGACACCAACTGCCCACAACTCCGAACGGCATTACTAAAAGGGAACAAAGCTGTTCCAGGCACAATAAGAAAGATTAGACTTCAGCAGCAAATAAAGCATTGCAAGTCGTAAAATTGTCTGTCCCTCTCGGGCACGGTGGGCTTTCAGATTTCAGCCCCCCCAGACGTAATAAGGATGGCAGCAAGAGCACAAGACTTGTTCTTCTGGGCAGTTTTTGACAAGGCCACTGTTAGAGCCCCTGGAGGACTCCAGGATGGCTCCTGAACTGCTCAGCAGTTTTCAAATTATTAAAAAGAAAAAAAACCCAAACCCGTAAAAGAACTTTCACACAACAATAAAAACAAGAACAGAATAACAGGGACAAACCTTCCTGCTTGCTCTGCGTTTCGAGAAAAAGGCAAGAATCACCTATTTTACAGAAGAAGAAGGGGGAGGAAAAAAAAAATAATCTCTCCCCAAGCGTCCTGGGAGGATCAGAGCAGAAACATTCTGTGAGCAGCAAAATTACAAAGCTGTTTCCTGTGACAACATCCTGTGTGGATTCTGCAATGTATATAGCGTGGGGTGAATTTATTAGCTTTGTCCTTAGTTGGGACACTAATGGCCTCTACCCCGCCATTTATTTTCACAAAATGCGTAGGAACTTTGTATGTAGGAAACTTCAACTCCTGGAACAAATTCCATTGAAAAGACAAATTAATTCAGAGGTTACAGAGGGAGAGCAAGAGTACCCAATCACATCTGCTTCTTTCCTTAGAAAAATAAGCTAAAAATACCACAAGGATGAATTTTCACTCTGGGGCAGCTCAAGAGATGTTCCCAAATAAGTAAACAACTTCAGAATAAAATCCATAAACACAAACGTAGCCCAGACAAGCAGTAACAGGACGGCAAACTCACCTTGCTGGCTACGGACATGGAGAGACTGGGTGGTGGGCTCCAAGGGCTGAAACACAAGACCAAAGAAGCATTTTACATGCACAGTATCTTAAGCAGTTTTACTCTGGAAATACTTTTCAGCCAGTTATCTGAAGCAGGGGAAAGTTATTCTGGAGATTGCATGTTCCTGCCTTGCAACATTAAAGGTTCAGGGCACTTGCTCTTACAGAAATAACTATCCTACAGGGCTTTACCGCACAGGGCTGTTGAGTTTTGGATGGCGAATAAGGACCTCCCCAGGAGACCTCTTCCTCAGCCTAAGAGCCAGCTCTGGCCAAGTCCATTCCAGCTGTGTCTTTACTCACTGCCATTGCACCACTGATGCATTTGACCCCGCTTCATTTCACACCGCTGAAGACAAGAAAGCTCTCTGCGATTGCTACCTCATATTGATTTTGTTAATCTGTCCAGCGCCGTCCTTCGGAGCAGCGAGCGTCGTGGGGAAAGCCTTCGCCGTGCCTTACCTCTCAGCTGCCCCCGCCCCGTGCAGTTGCAAGCGCACGTGCGGGGATTTCTTCACAGGAGGGAACGAAGCCCCCGAGCAGAATGCAACCCCCTTGCCCCACCACCACAGCTGGGATCCCACTCACAGGGCACCGCCTGAGCAGGGGATTTCTCCTCCTCCTTGCCGGCCACTCTCAGCACACCCCAGGCAGGATGCGACCCCACACAGCGAGGATCTCCCCTCCAACAGCGCTCTCAGACAGGGGACCCCCCAGGCCAGGATGCGACCCCCTCAAGCGGGGGATTCCCCCCCCGAGCAGAATGCAACCCCCTTGCCCCCCCACCACAGCGGATCCCCCTCTCACAGGGCACCGCCTGAGCAGGGGATTTCTACTCCTCCTT